AGTGAAACAAGCTGCAATTACAGGACACTGAAGCATTTGGGACAGACTGCCTAGAGAGATGATGTAGTCACCATCAACTGAAATCTTCACGTTTGACAGAGGTACATCAGAAATAACACAGGTTTATCAAATGGACATCCAGTGGACAGTTGGAGATTTTATTGTCCTAGGACTGTTTAGATGCAGCTATTATTAGGTCATTAACTGTGAAATCAAATTAAATAACCACAACACACAATATCCAGTAATGGCTTGAAACCCTCAGCACAGCAGCCTTCTCTCCAAAGGCTGAACATACTCAAGTCCATGTTTTTAGTGGAGCCCTGACAGTGGAGATGAGAGCTCATTTCTTCTCCAGAAATGTGTCTCAGTACGATACACTGTGGTGTTAAAAGTATATAATGTACATAAATATATATAAGTGTATTTACCAAACAGCCAGCCAAGAACAGTTTCTTAAGGCTAAAGGAAGATCAGAAGATGAGAGTTTGCTGACTGCTTCTCTGACTGAACATGGTTTACATTCCACAGACTGTGGCTCTTCAAGCCCCTCAGAACTTCACCTCCTGCATGGGACTTGCCCACCACACACAGTTAATCAGGGTTCAGAGCCTGCTTTTAATCCCATCTCTTTCCACAATTCAGAGTCACCCAGCCTTGCTGAGCTGTAATTAAGTGGTTCCTTTATTAAGGTATTTAGCATAATTGCTGGTTTGCTCTTAATTCAACAACTTGAAGTCAAAGATTATGCTCATCTAAAAAAAACACACGGTAAACCACACACTGTATTTATTAATTGTCCTGTTGTGCTTATCTTCTGAACAACTAGTAAGTGGATGATAACTAACCCCTTCAGCCATAAAAAGGTATTTATACAAGACAAGACTCAGTCATTAGTACAAGTTAGACATTGGAAATTATGTATTAGGATGTTTCCCACTTTGCATATCCTCCTCTATCCAATTAAAAATATATTTTGTGGACTTCAGTTTATCTTTTGATGGAGTGCACACTTCCTTGTCAGTTCAGTACCCATTTGTCAGCCATACTCTCAGGTTTCTCATTACTTCAGAGAGGTATTACAATAATTAGACTCCACGTTCTCTGTACTTTCTCTTGAGACTATGCTTCTAAAATTGCATTGCTTGAACTGGGTGTAACTAATCTTTTCAGATGTAAAAATCTATTTTCCTTTATCAATCTAAATATGCCTTCAGATTGCAGTTATACTGTCTTGGCATGTACCTTAGTCACTGTTTATGGGGAGTTTTAAAAGTCGTGAAAAACATGGCAGGTTGTCCAAATTAATAAATCCAGTTGAAAGTCACGGGGATCAATTCTGTAATCCAATAACGCTGTTATTGTACAAAGCACAATTTGACTATTTTTATAGCATTAAAATTTTTTCTTTTATATCAAGCATTTTCCAAATCTATGCTTGTAGTTTGAGTCCTCCTTCCGCCAATGCCTTATATTCAAACAAATCCTGCAACAAGGTCCTAAAATCATAACATTAAAAACAAACAAGGAAACAGAAAATCCAACAGTTATTTGTTTCCTGAATGTAGAGAGTCACGGGGTTTTTTATGTTTTTCTCTACAACTAATTTCTAAGGATAGTTAGAAACTCTTGTTTGTTTTAAAAATTAAATCTGAAATTCACAGGTATTCACATGATTCCTGAAGAATTGTGTGAAGGTTTTCCTGAAGAAAAATACCAATTGCTATGAAACTTGTAGAGACCATGAGAAGAATGGGTAACATGAAAGCCCAATTAATAAAAAACCCAGATTAATCAGATGAATGCAACTTCTTTTTCCAAATGATAATCTATACAACAACCACCAAGAGCAACTGTGATGTATCTCAGGCGGTATCTTGTATCAGAAGCAATCCAAATGTATATAGAATGTCCCATTTATGAAACTGATAGAGCACTCTGAAGTGCTATATACTTCTACAAAATTATGCAAGAGGGGATTAATAGCTGTCCTCAGCAGAATACTAAAAGGTATTTTGGAGAGATATGGTCCACAGAGCTTGTTAGCCATCTCTATAAAAATACATGTTGATTCATTCTGAAATGGTTAGATGCCCCTCAGTGCACATAACAATAATATCCCTAGGCCACAGCTGCAGCAGGAGCTTTACTCAGAACTCAAGTCTGTACTAAAAGCTCATCAACAGAGAAACATCCTGCAGAGGATTTCAGGAAGCAGCAATCTTAAAATGCCAGCATGTCTCTACCTTTGAACCAGCATTCTGTACTTGAGCCATCAGGTTTTCACACAGAAACACCACCAAAGAGGATTACAACATCCTAGGGACTAAAAGCACATCCCTGATTTGTGTCTACAGTCTACAAGGGTTACATGGCACCAGGTGTTGGTATGCCCTCAAACAGGGGTTTTTTTTCAGTGTATCTTATGCTTCTTCACACCAAAATTACCACCTGTGATACTAGACCTCAGGCAGTCAATTAAATATCAAACACATATCCTAAAAGATGACTAGCCAATTTCCCTTGAGCTAAATTGATTCAGCTAAATTTCATCTATTTTTCCCCTTGAGGATGTGAAAGTTCTTGGACAAACAAACACAGAATACTTTGTCAAGAAAGTACTACTATGGAAAATGAGATCTATGTTGCATTCAGAGAAGGAGAGGTATTTCAGGACCAACTCCTCCCATTGTCTCTCTCCCACTGCCCTCTTCCCCCCCCCGCCACCAAGAAAATCAACCAGGCATCATCCATTTTTTTGCAAAAGTTAAGACAAATAATCTCTGTGAACACTCTCAAGTGGAATGGAAATAGAAAGAGATAAAGAACAACAGAACTTTTTTTTTAATTACTGTGTTCAACCGGGTTAGAAAATTTTGAAACATACTATTATGCAGCATTACATACCAAAATATAATGGTCTCAAGTTGCAGCAGGGGAGGTTTAGATCGGATATTAGTTATGTTATGGTGCAGGAACAAAGCCTGGGAATTAACATTTTTGCCTGGTAAATTTCTACAGAGCCCTAAACTAAACTAGCACTGCAAATATTCAGGTTTTATACAGGTAAAAGGTTTTCTTACAATACCTCTAACCTTCTAAAGCCTCATTCTTATGGAGGGTTGTCATAGCTCTTCCTACAGATAGGGTCTAGTCCATCACCTCATCTAAGCAGACACATTTTTGGAGGAGCCATAATGCAGCATTGCTAATACTTCCAAGAATTTGTGTTTCTCTTACAGCCCCAAGTTCCTGTAGCCTTCTGAAAATATCAGCTTTTTTTCCTAAAAGAACTTTCAGTCCCTGTGGATTATCTGGACAAGACTGAATATGACCAGCACAACACAACATCTCTAAAAGCTAACTACAAAGACTTCAAGGAATATGTAGCTTTAAAACATCATTACCATTAAACCAACTTCACTTTATGTCACAGTACTGGTATTGTGAGCTAGAATTGCCTCAAACTAAGAGCCTTTGTATGCCTTTTCTGTCTGAGGCTCTAATTCAGTCTCTTCATTTCTCAGACTCTACTTTTGCAGGACATACTGGCAGCAACAGCTGAGCAGCACCCTATTGGGACAACCTCATCAGTTCTGCTGTGAATCTCTTCAGTCTCTAGGAGAACCGTATAGTACACAAGCGCATCTGTCTAAAGCACATGAAAGAAACCATGGAGTTCCTCGAATTTCATGCAAATGTTAAAGTCCTACAATCACCTAAGAGTTTCCAGCTTCCTTTCATGCAGTGCTCTCTTATGCAGTCTGCAGGGTGTCACATCCACCATTCATCATCAGTAAAAACTGGAGCCTGCCTCAGAAGGAAGGTAGGTGCGTCCAGGTTTTCTCCTCAGTCCTGTACCATTTCCTAAACCACTTTTTGCAGTATCTCTGGCCCAGAGACCCACGGGACTGGAAATTATTAAGACAACAAAAAGTTTAGAAAACTACTTACTGTTGCTGAAGAAATGTTAGCACCCAGTTTATTTTATCGCAAGTCTGGATTTTGTATTAAGATTTTCTAACCTCAAATCAAATCCTCCTTCTCTGCATTTCAGAGCAGGCATTTCAAAGGGAGGACTGATGTGTAAGTCAGAATTATGTGTAGGATGCCCTGGGCATCTGGTTGGAAACAAAAGAGCAAGATCACTTAAGTGGAAACACGGACATGTGGAAGGGGAGCAGGCTCACAGTCTGCTCTTCCTCCCCCAGACCACTGCTGCTAGCTCCACAGGAACCAGGCCTCTGGGACTCTGTCTCCTGCCTTACCGTAAAGGCAGGCTCCATTCTCCAGGGCAGATAAATGGTTATGTGCAGCACCACCAGCACAAGGCATGCTGGGGCACCACATGGAGGGAAGCTGGCAGCTCTTGAAGAACATGGAAATAAGGGGGGAAAATACAGACTAAACTGGAAAACGTTCAGAAATAGGCTTCTCTCCTATTTGCATTGGGATGCTTAACACACACCCATTTCTTTGGCAAGTTTACTGCCATCTCACTGTATTAATAAACCTTTGACAGACAAAGTTTGAGCTCTCCCTTCCCCCACCAGGAAGTTTCAAAAATCTAAACCAAATCAGATGCTCCAAGTTTGTTAGCATTAAAATCAGACCCAAGCACAATGCAGAAAGTGTCCTTTCAACTGTTCCTGGGGAGGAAAGTGGCAAAATCTGAACTTAAAAAACAAAAACATTAACATTTCCTTATTCCTTCCTAATTGCCTGGTCTGATTTAGAGAAAGCTAAGTGATTCAGGAGTACTCAACAAACAGCAGTCCTCTCCAAGTGGCATGCAGTGCAAGCTAAACACTGATGTTAGCCTTAAAGCCAAGGCTTCCTAGAACAGGTACCTAGCATCGGGATCCAAAGTGTATGATCAGACACCTAAACATCCTCGTTTTCTGTGTAACCTGGGGAGCTCCTGGTCTTTGGAGACCACAGGGTACCTGCCCGAGAGGGTTAAATGGGGTCACTGACTTAATATGGATTCAGAGCCCAACTTCGCGGTCCTTTTCGCAGTATTATTATGGCAGGAGGAAGGGCAGGAGGAGGAAGGGCCGGCTGCTGCTCCGTCTGCAACGCGTATCGGCCGGGGCAAGCCCCGCTCAGGAGGGCATCGCACCGGCTCAGCATCTCCGTCCCTCCCCGGCCGGGCTGCTCCGGGAAAACTCCTCGGGACATCGCCACTCTCCGGTGGCCAACTCCAGCCTGGGCACGTCCCGGCTCAGCCTGTCCGGCTTCCCTGCCGCCAGGAGCAGGGAAGCGGTCGCTTCCTTCCCCTGGTGTCCTTGCGGGCAGCCCCCCC